GTTCAGAGGTTTAGAGTTTAGGGGTTTAGGGTTTAGGGTTTATAGGGTTTAGGGGCAATCGAGCGGTCTGAGGCACATGTTGCCTCTGTTGTTGTTGGTGGTGCTGGTGCTGCTGTTACAGGTTCATTCGCAGTGAGAATTACACAAGTTTCAAAGGTAAATTCACAAGATCGTCCTAAACCCTAAACCCTAAACCCTAAACCGTCTTGCTTCGTCGTTGTTCTTCTTGGCCGATGCCTTCTGAGGTGCGGCATCCTCCGCAAATCGCCGGGCGAAGGCCCATCTTCCCAGAGCCCTCTCGTGGACCCGGCCGAGGCGCGCCTGCTCAGCCACTTCGGATGCAGGGGCACTTGAGGGTTTAGGGGTTTAGGGGTTTATAGGCGTTTAGGGTTTAGGGGCACAGGGCTTCATGTTAAGAGGCTTCTGGTTGGAAAAGTCCAGTGGGGCTGGACAAGGCTGTCGTGATGCACCAAGTCATCATGAAGAGTTCGTGTCTAAACCCTAAACCCTAAACCCTAAACCCTAAACCCTCCCAAAAAAGGCTCCTCAGTCGGACCGTCTTCTTGGACCCATCAAACAACACCTTCGTCCGGAAACAAGCGAAGTTTGATTTCGGCCCTGCCAGCTCTAGACAATGGCTGGGTGAAGCCCAATCGAGCCCCGGACTGGTTTAGGGGTGCTAGGGTTTAGGGTTTAGGGTTTAGGGTTTAGGGTTTAGGGTTCAGGGCCCCGGACTAGATCTTAGATTCCCTAATACCAAAAACCCTAATTGTTAAGAAGCCCGGTGTCTTTATTAGGGCTCTTTATGAATCCTACCTTTTTGGGGGTTTTGAGGGCCAGGGTTGATAAATCAGGGTCCTACATTGAGCCCTAGAGTCTTAAAACCGACAACCCCAGGCCGCCAGGGTCTAAATCTTACGGTCCCAATTACAGCCCTGACTGGATCTTCGCCCGAACAAGCCCCAAGGCACCTGTTTATACACATCTTTTAATCATATAGATGTATGCGGGGTACATATATATATATATGTATATAGATATATATACATCATATATATATATATATATAAACAAACATATGTGTGTATGTATGCATATATGCATGCATGCATGCGCGTGTACATTCATTCGCGTGTCTATCCTCACCACGCCGAAGCAAACTGTAACTTCCCTGTTGGGGGTCCTCGGAAGACGCAGAAAGCCCGCAGACCCCAAGGATCCGAAGCCCTGGGAAGCTGCAAAGCCTCAAACCCACTCTAATGTAGGGGCCTTAAGAATTAGAATAGGGTTTTAGGGTGTTCTATTCTATGACTTTGATGTAGGGGCCTTAATAATTAGAACAGGGTGCTGGGGTATGAGATACTACAACTATAAAAATAAACCCCAAAACCCCAATTCTAATGATTAAGGCCCCTATATTGATGTAGGGGCCGTAATAATTAGAATAGGCTTTTGGGGTATTGTATACTCTAACTATAATAAGGAACCCCCCAACAGAGTATTAGTACATATTTAGGCACCTGTATTAATAAACCCTAAAACCCTAAACCCTAAACCCTAAATAGGGTTCGGGGTTAGGGGCCGGAGGTTCCCAGTGTATCTCTTCTCATTATAGTAGACCCCAGCACCAAATTTCATTAACGCCCCAAATTACATCGACAAGCCTTTGGGGTAAAAGTTTAGGGTTGAGGGCTTCAGGGTTTGGGGTGAGGTGGGAGCCCTGAAGCCTCATAGCCAGCCGGGTTTCGGGTTTAGGGTTTAGGGTTTAGGGTTTAGGGTTTAGGGTTTACTGCCCGAAAATATCTTTGGCGTACTTCCGCGGCAAATATACACATGACATACAAGTTCCTCAGTATTAGCCATGGGGGCTGAAGGCTTTTCATGAAGTTTTCGGGATGCCCGTACGCAAAGCCATCAATCAACCTCTCAATTTATTTCCCCATTCCAAGTATAACTGCCCAAAACCCAAACCCGAAACCCTCGGCCCTAAACTAAACTTCGAAGCCTCTTGGTAAACCCTCGCCTAAACTCTACGCCTTAAACCCAGAATCCTTCTCTAAACCCTAAACCCTGTAGAAAGCAGCGTGGTACCTGGAGGCAGCCAGGCAGGCGTCGTAGGGCTTCCATATCACAGAGGCCGCCATCCACCGTGCAGTGGCGAGGCACTTTCCGCTTTCGATGGTCTTTTGAAGGGTGCTGCTTATAAGGGCTTTCGTTGTGGTTTGGGGGTCGGGGGTGAGTTTGGTGTCTCAGAACTCGGGCTAGAAGAAGAGTCCTTCTTAACGAGCTAAAGGATTGAGCATTGGGATGACTGTAGGGGCCAGTGGGGTTGAGAGAAGCTATTCGATTTAGGTCCTGCAGCTTGCTGCTATGCTAGGTTCAGTGTCCCTGTAGTCCAAATCAAACTGTGTTTGCTGTAAGGCTTGATCCTGAGACGGTGTCCCTCACTCCCCCCATTCAGATTATGACCTCTAGACCTCCCGCATCTTCTGTTACGGCTGTCTGGTCGAAACAGGTCACCCAGACTCAGCCACTCAAGCTGTTGCGGGCAAAGCATACTATTTTAGGGGTTCCTTAGTATAGGTATATTATAATTATTAAACCCTTCCTTCTACAGCACAGGAGTCCGAATCCGAAGAGGCAGTGGACCGAGGCGATTCTGCACCATGCACTCGAAAGCACATAGAGTTGCTAGAGAACCTGGTCAGGGATTTCGGTCGAATGCTGCGGCTGGCTCAGAGCCATCTCTCGGGAATCGAAACCGTACGTCTTGCCCATCGAGCTCGCTTTTTTCGTGTGGCTGCCATTGTCATTGAAGCAAGACATGCGGGGCCCTGGTCGGGCTCAGTATGCCGGAAAAGACCCGACTGACATGTTACAGGGTTTCGGGGCATGGAATCAGAGTTCAGCAGTGAGGGCTTCTGTAGCAAAGGCTCTACAACGGTCAAGTCCCTGGCCTCCGAATTTTGCTGTCCCATATCATACAGTGTCTGGGAATGCAGGCGCTAAGGGCATCGCCCTTTCGGAACTCTCCGGTTTCAGAGGCAGAAATCCAGAGGTACATCCGGCTCAGGTGCTGGGATCTGCTGGGGACGCTGGAGCATGGGCACCGGCGTCTGCGCTGAACATCAGATGGGCAGCTACACCTCAGGAAAACACGACATCCGGGAAGGAGGTCGGATGTCCCATGTGCCCATAGAAAACTGCACCGCAGTGGCTCACAACCAGAATGTAATTAACTGCTTGAAGCCAAGGCACATATCCGGCACAGTGAAGATAGGTCGGTAAAACCATTGCCCAGGCCAAGCCCATATTGCGAAAGCCACGGTAAACTCCAGGCGGTACGTAATCCTGCAGGGCCGCCCAGGCTACGCTGGGGTTTAGGTGGCTTGGGTGTGGGGCTTCATTGGTCCAGAAGTGTCCGAAGAGCCCTCAACCCTAAACCCTAAACCCTAAACCCTAAACCGTGGCACAAACCAAGAGAACCCGAAGCCAAAACCAGCCAGGTCCGGTGTGGCACTCTGGTAGTAGAACCTGGGCCGCTCCCACAGCTTCCCAGCAAACTAGCAGACATCTCTGAAAGCCAAGACGGCCAATGCTCTTGCTATATATAGCTTCACCCCAGAATACTGCGCTTGCAATAGCTTGTGGTAGGTTGTTTGCGCCCTGACCAAAACAGCAGATGAAGCTCACAGCCTCAACAGCGAGCTGTAAACCCGGAAACCGAATCCGAAGTGTCTGAGAAATGCCCAATGCCCATAAAATGGAAACAACCAGAAGGAGCAGTTGCAACAGCCCCCTTAAACTCCGGTGGCCCAACATAGGGACCTTAAGCCGAAATCCCTCTAAAAAACCCGATGGGCTATGTAGCAACTTCAACAAAAAAAGCCTTATAAGAAACATACGAGACTCTGACTTGTGCCAAGAAAGCTTATGGCCTTATGACAAAAAAGGAGACATCTTGTTTAAGGCTTTCGGGTGAAGACCAAACACGTCCGAGGAGCCGGGCGCCAGAGGCCAAGCAGCCGAGTAAGACGCAGAAGATCCAGACGACCTGAACCTCCTTCGTTATAGGGGTCAGGGTTTCGGGTTTAAGGTTTAGGGTTTAGGGATAGGTTTCTAGAGCCCAAACCCTAAACCCTATATACCCTAAGTCATAGAGTTTAAGGCTACTTACGGGTTTAGGGATAAGGCTAGTGAGTGGCAGGCTCCCGTAAAGGGCTCCTTTCCTAAGCCATAAGCCTGGCAGCTGTGTAGGGTCTTTGAATATTTAAGGTTGCGCGGTAGCTTTGGCTTTCAGGGGTTTTATGGGGCTTCATAGGGATTCGGAATTCCGTGCAAGGGTTCCTTGCAGGGGTCGTTTCTTGAGGCTTGAGGGCTTCAGGGTGCTTTGGAGCACTTCTTTAGAACTTAAGATTCTATACGGATACTACACACTTATTCAGTTCCGTATAATCGCACTCAGTGATGCGACATAGAACCTTTCATGTATCACCCATCCGCGCCCTTTCCGTGCATTGGACCAACAGATTCTGCTGCATCCCGCCAAACTACCAGGAGACACCGGCAAAGGATGGAGCAGGTCGCACACTGCACCACATTTCCACAGGGACTACTGCGAACTCTGTTGCTGCATTCAGACCCTATCGGGCCTTACCGATAAGTTGAATCATCCAACCTCCACAAATCATTTTGGGGTTTAGGGCTTAAGGTTTGGGGTTTAGGGTTCGTCGAATACGACTCATAGTCCGACAGTTCCATCCTCGAGCACCTGCTTGCGAGAGGTCTCCCATTAAACCCTACACCCTAAAACCCGAAACTCCCGTTACTGCGGCCAGTGGGGCCTTCTGAGCTTGAGGCTTACAGAGGTGAAAACACCGCAGCCGACACTAAAATGAAGAGGCCTCAATGATTAGAATTGGGTTTTGGGGTATTGTATTCTGCGAAAATTATAATAAGGAGCCACCAAAACAGTATAGGCAATTGTTATGACCGCTATATTAGATCTAGAAGACCCTAAACAGACGAGTCGACTCACTCGTTCGCCCACCGAGCAGGACCATCATGGGAAGTCAATGCCTTCTCAAGCTAATGTAGGGGCCTTAATAATTAGAATAGGGCTTTGGGGCCAGTTATACGATACTTATAATGAGGAACCACCAAAATAGTATATGCAATTATTTAGGCTTCTATACTAAGAAAGTGATAGCTAAACTTAACCCCAAAAGGAACCCATAAGGAACCCTAAAGCCTGCACCTGCGAAAGAGGCCATGTTCGGCCAAGCAGCATGGTACTGGTAAGCCATGGCCGCCGCTAGGAAGCCCGATCCAGAAAGCACAGCATGCAGAATCCTATGGTCTTCGGCTTAGGGTTCGGGTTGTGCAAATCCTTACGAGTACTTTAAATGGGGCTGTTCGTAGACATACCCTACAGTCCTAAGCCGACTTCGAAGCTTGCTTACTGATGCCGGTCACAACCATGGTCTTGTCATCTGCACGTGTTGGCAGACAGGTGTCTGCCCATATTCCTCAAAAGAAACAAGCTAAATTCGGTTCAGGCTTGGGTGTTTAGAGCTTAGAAGGTTTAGGGTTTAAGGCTGCTGTCCCTGCAGCCGAGGGTCAAAAGCCCGAAGCCCAAAACATTCCAACCTCTCAAAACACAAAACTGAGAATGCTGCGTCCATTATCCAGCATCACGTTGCTCACTGCGCAGGCTTAGTGCTTTGGGATTTAGCAAGGGCGGTCTCGTGCATGGATTCCAAGATTCGGGACCGCCTAAGAGCCAGCAGCTTGATGCCTTCAGGGTGTTCTTGTACTATACTCCACTATACTAGTTTACATTGTATTGTATTTTGTACCAATGTACCATGCACCGGCAAGTCAGCCACCATGTCAAGTAGAGAAGAAGAAGCAACCAAACAGAGTTTGTAAAGTCTGGTGCAGCAAAGATGCAGCTGAACTCACAACAAAATTCTCACTACTTCATGCCTTGCGAGTGACGTGGCTTTCATCACGTTGAAGGCATACTTCGAGTATTCCTGCAGGTGGCTCTATGCCGGGAGTTGCGATAGACAAAGGTACGGCAGTCGCCCTTCGTTCGAACCATGTACATACTAGTACACATATGTTAATAACATTGGGGCCTTACCAATTCATAACATCCTATCAGCACATAGGGGCGTTACTGATTCGTAATAATGATTCCAATAGGGGTTGGGGGGCATGTTGCAGTAGGAAATATAACAAGAAGCACTGAGTAATGGAAATTAAGCCGACCCCTACAGCAGGGGGCGACCTTCTTAAGAGAAGAGCCTTTTCAGGAGGGCCTCACCGCGAGAAGTGCGCAGAAGAAGCTCGGCGAATCATGCAGGCAGCAAAGCTCGCTCTCTCTCTCTCTCTCTCTCTACAAGTCTATAAGGATACATACGCATAGAACGCCAGAACACCCACGACGGATGCATCGTTCAATGGTAGCATCTAGGCATTGCGTTCCACCAGGACCGAAGTAAATCGAGCTGTGCTTATGCATGCACAACCAATATACTTGCCATCTGGCGAGGCCTGTCGCTTGGCGGTGAGGCGAGATTGTGCTGTGGATGCAGGCAGGATGAAGCCGTCCATAAGGGTCCTGATGTAGGGGCCTTAATCATTAGCTTTTATACTAGACATTACTATACCTGTACTTGTACTAACGAACCCCAAAATAGTTTATGTAGTTATTTAGGCTTCTATATTGAGCAAACAACTTGGGGATTTGCTTAACGCTTTCTTGAAGGCGGGTTCAGGTACGAAGCGCGAGCCTAGCCGATGTTGCGCAGTCGTCTACCAAATCGGCTTTAATGATTAGAATAGGGTTTTGCGGCCCGTTATATTATACTTATAATAAGGAGCCGCCAAAATAGTATTGGTAATGATTTAGGCCCCTATATTACCAGAGTCATCTGAGAGCCGAAGACAGTGGATACAGCTTTGGGAGTGAATGCCGGGTAAAATCTGGTGATATGACCAAACTGCTGATTTCATCCGAAAGCCCTACAGGCAGGAAAAGCAACCCGAGATTATGCTAGCAGGCTAGAAACATGAGACTTGTGGACGACACTTCTGTCAAGAAGGCAGCACTCCCTTAGGGTCCATGTGCCCAAATGGTATATACTTTGGCCTCAATGTAGTCCCTATATAGGTACTTTGGCGCCAAAGTATATACTATCTGGGTACATGGACCCTTAGGGACTGTCACATCAGATCTTGGCGATTTGCTTCTGAGGTGCTCCAAGCCAGCTATCCTGTCCGGGAGGAACCTCAGGAAACACTGCATCACAACGACCACTGGCCACCCTGAGGGTTTAGGGCTTGGGGTTTAGGGTTTGGGGTTCCTAGACCCTAAACCCATAGCAGTCAATGCGAAACAATGGGCATGTCTCCGTGAGGAGCTGCCTCCTGCAATCCACGGTGAACAAACTCACGGAGAGGCACGACTGGCCGTAGATCGCTGTAGAATCGAGTCGAAAGGTCTGCGTCCGTCGGATCGGCTCTTTCATTGTCGATCATGGATAGCATGAAAGAAAACAGACCGACCGAAACTTCTAAACCCTATCCCTGGAGACCCGTAGCCTCGAACCCGTCTTCAGTCGGGTGGCGGCTGCAGCAGCAGGAATACCTCAGCTTCAATAAGGGTTTGGGGACTTCATTTGCAAATCACGCAAGTGTTTACCAACTCGCTTCTCCGTATGACATATGACAGGTATAGGTCTTATAAGCAGAACTATGTACTACAAGAGATACGGTAACAAGTACTACAAAGGCTACAGTTTGAGTCAGATTTCTGTGGAGTTGCGGACGCCGAGGATTTCGATGTCCAAGCTGCAATGACTCCGCCGATTCTGCAATGCTTGCCGCGTTCAGATCATCAGGGGCGCGTATGTAAAGTAGAGTGTGTATTGCCCTAAAGTACAGGCTTTCTTATTGTAGAGGCGCTGCACCCTAAACCATCAAGACCCCGGTACAGGAGCCCCCAACAAAAGACAAAGAAGCAACCATGTGGGCCAGATGACTAGGTAGCAAGCACTCCAGGGGAAGTAGAGACGCCAGAAGCCAACGGACAGCAACTCAGAGACCTCGTCTGGAGACGGTTTGTAGTGTCTTGTTTCGGGTGGTATAGGTTGCTACTTTACATGCTCTACTCTTAAAGGCTTTAAGATGCAAGGACAGCGTGCAGGTGCGGTTGATGCCAAGACTGAGCAGAGGCAACGCTAGGTCTTGTCGAATTGCTTCCTTGTCGAGACCCAAGTTGCCGGTTGTGTCACAGTACGGCCCCAAAACAGCACACAAGCACAAATTAGGATAGGGATATGCCATATAAACCCCCTGATAATGAAGCCCAATAAGGTCGGGATATCCCTATAAAATGCTTATGCATATGTCCTTTTTGGGTTCCTAACACAGGTGCTTCCGATTAGGAGACTGACCAAAAGCCCGGTCAAGCTACGGAAGCTTGCGGCCAAGACCGGCATGATGACCCTGCAACCCAACATGTCGGGCAGTATCCTAATATGCACTTTCAGCCTATAGTAAGTTAAGAGTCCCCTAATTTTCCGAAGCTCCGGTTTCTAACATCGACAAAAACCAGCCCCCGCAAAAAAAACAAAAAAACAGCTCTCGAGCAGGACTCTGAAAGTCAACCAGTCGGCCTAGGACCAAGGTTTGGGATTTGGGTTGAGGGTTTAGGGTTTAGGGGGTTTCGGATTTGGGTTTAGGGTTTAGAGATTTGGGTTGAGGGTCAATCCACTGCCCTGGATTTGGTTGCTTAGAAGACTGACCCTAAACCCCTAAACCTTGTGAGAAGCCTGACTAGCTTTTGGAATCGAACAGACCCAAAGCCCAACAGGATGAACGAAACAAAGACTTTTGGCATCTTGGATCTAGTTTGCTATGGCGTCTGATTAGGGGATGTGGGGGGTGGATGGTTTAAGATCTGGTTTTGGTGCAGTGTGCGGGGCCTTGCGTGTATATCTTAAGTTCTGGCTTTCGTGATGTACAAGTTCGAAGTTGGACCCGTCTGCCCTAGTGTTCCCCGATCTCCTGCGACCAGATGCCCGATCGAAGCTCCACCTTACAAAGTTACAGGCACTTTTTCCGAACCAAGGCATAGACAAAGAAAGCCTGCAAGCGAGAATAAACCCTAAACCCTAAACCCTGAACCCTAAACCCAAAACCCAAAACCCTAAACCCTAAAGGCTTGCATCCTGCACCCTGAATTCTAGGCTCTTAACTCTGGGTAATGGAGTGGCTGGTGGGATGGGACCCAGAAGACTCGGCCAGCGCCAACGCACAGCGTAAGCCATCCACATCCTCAGTTCCTACAGCGTAGGGCTTTTAGTGGTCTAAGGCTTTAGGCTTAAGTCTGAGGGTTTGGGTTTGAGTCCGATTCTGCTCACGGTAAGCAAAAAGGCAATTGAGCTTTTAAATTCAGCATTTAAGCAATGAGTGTTCCGCTTGCTGGTCACAGCCGGAACTTCAAGACGACGTGAGTACATATGTGAGACCAGGACGTCTTACAGACAAAGCAAACCAGCCGCTAATAACTGGGAACAGCTATGCAACACCGTAGTGACAGGGCTGACATGATCACAACAACATGTAGCCTTTGTAGCCTTGGCTGCCTCAATCGTTGCATGCGGGCAAATAGACTTTAGGAATAAAACCCTAAACCCTAAACCGTGTTGCTGACAAAGGAATGGTAGCCTGACTCGATGTCATGGAGGCATCAGGCCGGGTCGCGAGGTTGCAGAATCTAGTTGAATGCTTCATGCACGAGCAAGGCTTTCACATCGGAGGCTCATGACACCATGAACACCAGGCCCAACTCAGATTTCAGGGCACGCCCTGCATGATAAACCCCAAACCCTGAACCCCTAAAATCCTAAACCCTAGACCCTAGACCCTAAAGCCCTAAACCATAAACCCCTAAACCCTAAACCCTCATCGCAGCGACGGCGAGGCATGAAGGAAGAAGCTCTCGAATGCCTTCGGGAAGCGCAAGGCTATTAAACTGCGTCTCGGTGGGAGCTCTTAGCTCTGAGATGTTTAAGTCCAAAGGGAACCAAGTCTCCGTGCAAAGAGTCCCTGACAGTTGCAGGAAAACGACCAACGCAGGGTTCTTATTGACACGATGGCCGATGTGGCAGGCTTCAGCATGGAAGCTTGGAGTTTTGCCCTTTACCCCAAACCCTAAACTGAAACCTCTGGATGTTGGTAGGAGGCTTGCCTCCCTCCCTCAGCTCATGGATCTCTAGGCATAGAGTTGGAGCGCTTAAGGCTAAACTTACAACGAATCAAGGATCCCCACGAGTAACTCGTCATAGGCATAATGTCGTATTAGTACCAACCGCAATGTAAGCAAACAAACTGCGGCTGCTGCCGCTGCTGTTGCTGCTGCTGCTGTTGTTGCTGTCGCCGTTGCCGAAGCCGTTACCGTTGCTGGTGCTGCTGCTGCCGTTGCTGGTGTTGGTGTTGTTGCTGTGAACTTTGCGTGCAACTGCAATTGCACCTGTAGTTGCGGTTGTAGTTGTAAGTGTAGTTGTAGTGGCTGTTGATGTTGTAGGTGTCGATGTGGGTGTCGGTGTGGGTGTTGGCGGTGGTGGAGGTGGTGGCAGTGGCGGTGCAGAGTGGTGATTATGGGGTTTCGGTTGCACGCTTGGTTGCCCCATTTCCCCTCCGGCTGCATCTTGTTGCCAACAGCTTTGCTGTCTGTTGTCATCCACTCGTCAAGACCGATACTTTGCTCGTCGTTCTTGCTACCTGCGTCCTCACCGGGCACTGGGTATGGCAACATAACAGTACTAAGATTAACTGCAAAAACTGTGGACCCCGACATATAATGTACGGCATTGTTTCCGCTTATCGTTGCTATTACCACCGTCGCCCTGATTGACATTCTGATCGCCGCTCGGATTTTTAGCATGGCCGTTGACACAATGCTAGTATCGGCCAGGTTGCTAATAGCACGTGACATGGGTACTCATGTGCTGCGCTGCATCAATGCGAAAGTCACAATGTAAACTGTAGACTCCTGTTCTCGGCGCACATCACGGTGATGATGATGATGATGATGATGGTCGTGGCGATGGAAAGGTCCTGGCTTGAACTGATTTCGCGGCATAGGATGCCGCTACTGGAGCAGAGTGCAATTGCGCATGCTTGAACCCTGCTAAGGCAATCTGACGGAACTGTGTGCTTTGGTGGTGCAGTACAACAAACCCTCCATGACCTACATACTTGCTGGCAAACCATAATGAGTCGTTCTTGCTTTCTGCACATTCTCCTGGAAGCTCTCGAAATTGGCATTTCCAGTTTGTGTATCTGCAAAATCCACATTATGAACAACACAAAGCACTGTCACACCAAAAACAACGGATGCAGGCTTACCAAGTGTGACAACATGTCGTGGATTCCTGCCATGACGAAATTAAGCCGATTCACATGCTGATCCAGGGACTCGCATTAGCCAATCTCTTCGAACGATTCGTCGGGCTTTCTATGGCAATTGCTTGAGCACATCGTGGAAACATGGCATGCATCAATACACATGTGCCGCCACATGCAAACTCATCGCCTGTGCTACTGACTGCTCGAAGCTCGGAGGGCTGAGACATGTTGGGAGATACCATTTTAGGCCTGCCTATGCAACGCTGTTTGGGTTGAGGTCTGTGCACAACTTGTAAGAAAGGCAAACATGCTTCTGCGCCAAAACACCTGTATACCACATATGTCACATATATCTAGAGGCCCTCCACAGTGACTCCACAGGAGAAGGACACGCATGGCATGTACGAGAAGCACCACCAGTTGTCAAGACCGAATGTGACCACGTTGCCTTGTCGTTGATGAGTGCCGCCAAAGTACTACTACTGATGCAGATGCTCTTGACATGGTTGATTGCACTAGTACGGGTTGCTACCATCGCTGCCAACAAGGGATCGCTGCTATTCTGTCCTGGCCATGGCTATGTTCATGCATTGCATAATATTTCCTTGGTCAGACTCAATGTACGAGTATAAAAACAAACAAAAGTCCGCCTAATTTGTGCAATTGGTCTTGGTAGCATTGTTCAAAAGCAATAGGTAGCAGTGATGACATTACACTGCGGATGTAGTGACAAATGTCCTGGCTGTCGTTGCTCCTGCTGCTTTCGTTATTAGAGTATACTGTGAACATCTTGGCTGTCACCGGCCTGGCAGCAACATGAGCAGTATGCGTGTCACGATGGTCACTATGAGCATTGTTGTTGGCACGAGCTTCGTTCTGCTTGTGTTCAAAAATGGCATTGCAGTCATGATTATTCTCAGCTGGTTTACCAATTATTGCTATCGGTAAACCAGCAATACACAGATGATTGGTTCTTGTCCGCCTCCGGGTGGTGGAGCGTCAGCGGCGTCTGAAGTGGGAATGTCGCACCGGCTACAGGTCCTTGGGCGACGATGTAAGTCGCCAACAACCACTCCTTAGGCTGCAGGCTTATCCGTTTGCTGAGTGCGTGTGAATGAAGCTAAGAGCTGCTAAGAGCCCCTATGTCGCCTGCGGCTGAAACTGCGCTCTGCGGTAGTTGTTGAGTCGGCCGGTATCGGGTCTTAGTTGTAAACTCTTAATGGCTGGCCCGGAAGTGCCAAACGGCTTGTGGCGGTCAATCCGATCAATGACGGTGGTTGATTGAGATTCCAAGGTCGAATATTCAAGTCGCCCCTCAACCCTAAACCCTAAATCCTAAACCATAGCAACACCTTGTGCATGGAAAACCGAAGTTTCACAGTAGTCCTTTTTGCTTTCGTTTCGGGGCAAGGCAAACCTTACACCCCCTGTGCCTACCTACAACCCCAAACCGTAAACCCACAAAACAGTAGGCTATGACCCTTGCATTTTCGGGTTAAAAAACCTGAAACAGCAGGCATTTAGATCTTCAAATTGAAACCCTAAACCCTAATCTCCCCTAAACCCCTAGATCCTAAACACGAAACCCTAAACCCGAACCCTAAACCCCAAACCCCTAGATCCTAAACCCGAAACCTGAACGCGACTCCCTGCAAACCTGATCCTTCGTCTTCGTGCTGCCCCAGGATCGCGAGAGCAGCCAGATTCGCAAGACCAGAGGCTGTATATCAGCAAGATGCCTGAAGTGTAGCGGCTTTAGTGTTTTGGGGTTCAGGGGTTCAGTGTTTAGGGTTTAGGGGTTTAGGGTTCAGGGTTCAGGGATTTAGTGTTTAGTGTTCAGGGTAGGATTTTAAGGTCGATCAGAAGATGGAGTGTTCTACTATAATTATAGTAGAAGATACCCCAAAACCCTGTTCTAATTATCAAGGTTCCTATATTAAACCCATATAGTTACCCTGATCGTAACCCCTTTAAGGGAACCCCAAAACCCTATTCTAGTTATAGAGGCCCTAAACCCTAAACCCTAAACCCTCTAGTTATAGAGGCCCCTCTATTCGGATGTAGAGCCATTGCAGGCTGAAGCTGGGCCGCTGTTCACGAAGCACAGGTCGATGAAAAAGAGCATCCACTCTTTGCGTGCGTAGTAATACCTTGGGGTCTAAGGTTTAGGGTTTAGGGTATAGGGTTTAGGGTATAGGGTTTAGGGTTTAGGGTTTAGGGATTAGGGTTTAGGGATTAGGGTTTGAGATATAGGGTTTAGGGATTAGGTTTAGGGTTTGGGGTTTAGGGATTAGGGTTTAGGGTTTGAGTGGCACGACAAGCTCCGGCTGCTTGGCTCAGTCGGATGGGACGTTGTGGAGCGAAAGCCCGAAAAATCTCGGATGCTGATGGACCACGGTTTAGGGTTTAGGGCTTAGGGTTACAAACCTTCAGCGTGACATTGGAACACCTGTTCTACTCATAACACCCTCTTCCCTTCCCATACTCAATGAGCAAGCTGCAGTGGAAATGCCACCCCCCCAGACGGGGAGTCTGAGCAGATGTGCGACCCTGATGTTACGAAAAAGTCACAACCACGTACAAAACAAACGGTGCGTAAGATGAACAGGAAAGCGTCACAGTTTGGTGATTCATCTCGGACTTTAGGCTTTAGCACAGGATGACAGAAGCGATCTGACCACCCTTCCGGCACTAAGCGTTATCCTCAAGAACAGTCATGTAGTCATCTACTTAGTAAACCTGTTCCTGCAAGAAGGCTTTAAAGCAGCCCCCAAGTTTGTTACCGACATTGCCCTGAAGCCCCTAAACCCTGATTAAACCCTAAACCCAACCAGGGGTCTACATTAGGTCTATCAACCAGGGGTCTACATTAGGTCTATATGAGCTGAACTCCAGATGCCCGTGCCAGGGCACATGCGGTACAGGAGCAAGCCCGAAGCAACAATCGTGTACTGCAAGCGTAGAGCTTTGAAAGATGGCTCCCAGAACAAGCAGCAAGCCTTGAATTGAAGCTTGGAGCTTTGAGGCATTGAGAGGGGTCTCTGTCCAGATGTCAAGGAGGGTCGAGTTGCAGGGGATTCAAACGTTGCAAAACCTCCTCATCACCCAGAGCTTGTCCGCCCTGATCACACTCTTCCTGGTCCCTCTGAGATCTCACGATCATCGTCGAAATCTTCATCATTGACAACACCACTTAAACCATCATTATCACGAGTCCGGCATCTGCTCGGTCTGAACGATGAGAGTAATAATGCACTTCCAACTGCGAAGCAGCGATATAGGAATCAGCATCAAGGGAGCATGTCGGGCAAACACTGCTCCAGCAGAACTGCTAGTGGCAGACTGCGGCAGAGAAACCGGAATGCGCATTTTCCAGAAGCTACTGCAGAAAGAATGCACCTTCACCACCACAAGTCCTCCATTATCAAGACCACCTGCCTTGCAGAATCAGAAACCCCCTTTGAGAATAATATAGGGGCCTTAACAATTAGAATAGGGTTTTGGGGACCAGTGTACAATAACTATAATACGAACCCCCCAAAATAGTATCGGTAGACATGTAGGAATTTAGGCCCCTACATTAAACTCATACTGTGCGACCCAGACCTTCGGAAGTTCCGCAAGATGACATGTTTCAGAGAGTCGTGATGCTGTGGTATCGGGCCTGAGACTCGTTTCGGATCAAGACCCTCATGCCCTGGGTAAAGATCCGTATAAGCCCTAAATGTAGCCCTTAAGCCCTTCTCTCTAAATCGGCGTAGTGTTACTGGGGAATAAAAGAACATAGCTTGAGCATTGCTTCATAAGGGCTTTCGAAGTGTCGAAAGCTTTGGGGGTCTTAGTGCTTCCGGGTTACGATTGTGACCTCTGGCCTGGAAGTGGGTTTGGGCTTCAGTACTCGGGTTTAGGGTTTAGGGGTCTCTGGTCTGAACAATTTTGCACGGTGAACACCTTCACCCCAAAATCTCCATAAGCCAAACCCAAGACATTCAAAATTCAAAGGTCCTGAACCACAAACCCTAAACCCATAATGTATTAGAATATCACATAATGTACAAACCATACGATAGTATACTATAGCATACTATAATATCAATATTATTGTATTCTTGTAAGGATATGATATCCTTACCGATGAACCCTAAACCTTAACCCCGAGGCCCTAACCCCAAACCCCTTAGATATCGCATCGGTCCCAGGGGCGATGGTCGTCAGCAGCGTACAGGCATAGATCGGAAAGGCCAGGCTCGGCTTCAGCCAGCGGGCATCCGGTTGCAAAGCGTAGATCTTAGTGTTTGTTGGGCTTGGGTTTAGGGTTTAGGGTTGAGGGTTTGGGGTCACAAACAAAAACATGGCCCGCACAAATGCCAAGGCTCGCCCCTATGGTTTGGTCTGGGGTTGGCAGATCTTAGCGTTTTTGGGTTTGGGTTTGGGGTTCAGGGTTTAGGGTTTAGGGTGGCTTTTGGGCTTGTGGTTTCGTCGTTCAGGATTCAAGACGACGCTCTTGTATGTAATAATGGTAATTTGCAGCTCAGAAGGTTTATGGCAATAAGATTCCGCTTAAAAGGATCACGGGGCTTCGTAACTCAAGGTTTTCATAATGTAACTATACTTATAACTACTTATAACCCCAACTACAGTACTTATAACTATATACCTACTGTGTCCCACCATCCCCCAAGTAAGGCCAGGACCGTGAAGAGGCCCGAAGGTCCCTCCATACTGTTGATGATATAAAACCTGCATTCGCTTAAGGACCCTAAACTATGGGAGTGGTATATTCCTGACTATGGGTATTGCAGGATTTATATCATCAACCGTACTACTTCTCCTCGTTTGCCCCCGCGCCTTCGCATCTCCCTCATGTGAGGGTCGGATGGCTTTTACATGGGTAGTTCTCTAAATTAGGGTCCCCTTTTAAGTCCCCAATATGGTACGGCACTTTTGTTAAAAAGGACCCTAAAAATGTACCATAACTCAGCAAACTACCCACATGTTGCTCGGTGAGTGCATCCCTAAGCTCCCCTCATAGAAGGGCTGAGGGTAATTAGGGCTTAGTGGGCTTAGGGTAATTAGGGTTTGGGGCTTGGGGCTTACGGTTTAGGGTTTAGATATGCAAGTCCCCAAACTCTCAATCTTTCATAATCTTTCAACCCTTGAAAATGAACAAACTAGGCATCACCCCAACAATGACCACTACCAGGCTACTGGTTTCACACGGGACGCAGGTTTTGTTCATCAGTCCTGTGCTCGAAAGGTGGCAGTATTAACACACATCCGTAAATAATAGAACAGCAAACCAAACGTCGAGTGTTCACAGAAGCTGCACGACTGACCAGCCTGTAAATATGTAGTGGAAATACATGCAGAGATACACTGAACAACTAATAGAGGGTGAGCATATCCACGCAACAGTTGTTTTGCCAAGCTTCGCCAGCTCCCTAGGATGAAGCCCTGTTGCTGTTCCGCACTAGTCTGTGTCTGCACAAGCTAAGGCTCTCAAGACCTGCTCCAAATTTGCTCTCACGCGCTCTGCTTGGAGCAACGGCTGGAGCAGAGGCCGAAACCCGGCGTCGCACAACTCTTTAAACGTCAAGCCAAGCGACCATGGCTTCCAAGCTCCACATTCAATACGTCCCTGGCTTGTCAAGAGTCTGCTCTGTCCAGCGCGAACGTCGTCTTGCGGCGTCAAAATCAGCTAGTTTTACTTCAAACGAACTTGCAGAATTCCGCAGCAAAAGGTTCGCTTCTTTGACGTCTCGGTGGAGATCAATCTGCTGTGCACATGCTGCAGCGCTGTGGCGGCGGAATAAAGGGCAATTCTCCAATTTTCTGCAGTGAGTCGATCAGCCAAATTGGTGTGGGCATATGACAAGGATGGGCCAAGAAACTCCAACATTACACCCTCCCTGGCGCCAGATATCCAAGCCACGGCTGAAACAACCAGATCATGCTGGCATTCCCGCAATATAGTTGCTTCCCGGCAGAGGCGTTCAAGGTCTCGTTGGCGCTGATCAGGTAGCTGCTGGTCACTCGTCTGCATCGGCTTCACAAACTTCAATGCAAACTCTTGCTTGTGCCACCTTACCTTGCCAACCTTTGCCAGACCTCCTTGTCCGAGCACTCCTGTGAAACATAATTGCTTCACATCCAGCGTGGGAAATGGAGAGTCCTGTATCTGCGGCTCTTGCATTCCTGTCTCACATGCACCAGCCTTGTGTCGCATCATGTCGGAGCCGCTCTGTCGGCCTAATAACACCGGCATGCATGCCTTTGTCATTGGCGTTTGCTCTTCCTCAGTAATCGGATCCCTCTTCGCTTCAGGTTGCGATTCCAGAGGACCCTGCAGCGCCTTCGGGTGTCGAAGCTTGTGTTGCCGGTGCCTCTGCCGCACACACCCAAAGCTAAACGCGGGGTCGGAGGACGGTGCTGTTATTTTGTATGTTGCAGGGCCAGGACCCGATGTACATGGCGATACTAATCGGGAGGCTTTCGGAAAAAAACATGGAGATTACGGCTCTGCTTACGAACGAGCTGGCAGAGTCATGAAGATGCAAAGCAACGTGTTGAACCAACTGCAGCCTTTGCAGTCGAACCGTATCATGAGCCCCTGCTCTTGCCTGATCCGAAAGCAACAGGATCACCAAGCATTGATTGGCGGATGAATGGTTCAAAATTGGGCTGCAATCATGGATCACATGCCCAACCAGCCCCCTCAACCCTGAACCCTAAACCATAAATTGTATAACCCTAAACCCCAAGCCCTATTCAATGAAAAGGAACTTTCAATTCTAACAGAATCAACATTAACACGACCTTGCATAGACAGTTACACGATATCAAGAGCATACTCACACTACTGTCATATTCATCATCATCCAGCTCTAATGCTTCACAGGGGCTGACTTCTCGCGGAAGAACCGCCGTCCTTCTGCCTGCTGTGCCTGCCTGCCAGTCGGGCAAAGACTGGCGCAATGTAGGGGCCTTCATACTTAGAATTGGGTTTTGAGGTATGTTTCGCTATAATTATATTAAGGAACTACCATCATAATATAGGTAATTATTAATACCCCGCAACTACCTCGAAGATACTTTGTACTGGAGCTTCTCGACTGTTGTTTGTCGACTGAAGTCTGAACTCCATACTCTGTATGTGTACACAAAAAACCAACACATAAATAAACAAAAACAAGTAGAAACGCAAACATGCCAGTACATTTGCATATGTAAACATATATGCATGCAAAATACCTATACATATATATATATACACACAAACACACGTCAGGCCAGAAGGTATTTTGTGTCGTCCGGGTAGGCTCAAGCTCGTGCTTATGACGGATTTAGGGTTCAGGGTTTAAGAGAATCAATCTGTCCTTCGGAGCGTTCTGCGGATTCATGCGATTCTGGCAAAATTGCTCTCGGTTTGGGGTTCAGGCTCTTGAGGGCTATGGTTTAGGATTCCTGCGCATTGATTTAGATATATACATTCATTTTTTATTACTACATGTAAGGTATACTCGGAATATTGGGCTCTCCGACCCGCTTGTGCTTAGTTCTAGGCTTTCTTTGTTCTGTTGTCTCCCGTCTTGGCATCATCCTCGCGAGTACTGTTGTCGGTTTACAAGGTACCTGGTGCCTGCGCGCAGAGGCCCAGCACCTTTTGATGCAGAAATAAAGCTTCAGTCACTACAATACAGGTGCATGCACACATACATACATGCGTACATACATACATACACATACATGCATACATACGTACATACATACATACATACATACATACATACATACATATTTCTACATACATATACAGTATGCCGTATGCCAATACATTCCATATATATATATATATATGGATGTCTGTGTGTCTGCTGCTGCTATAAGATGACATGTAGCCGTTCGACTGCAACTCGAATCATGAACGACACAGAGCCTCACTTTGATATAAGGTAAGCAGGAACAAAATTAAGCACACAACAGCATGTAAGAACAAATCCAGCAAGGATGTGTAAGCAGTATCGCAGAACATGCAGCAGCAGCAACAGCAGCAGCAGTAGCAGGAGTAGTAGTCGTCGTCGTCGTGGTCGTCGTCCTCGCCGTCGTGAAGCAAAAGTCATAGTGATCGCGATAATAACAGGGACGGTGGTCGTGATCGTGAGAACAAGTGTCTCAGTCGTAGTACAACACCTGCCACTGGCAAGTGCCGTGACATGTGGAACCGTACAATAAACGCGAACAGCATAGAAAAAACAACTTTCTTGAACACGCAGGGGTTCAACCTGCGGCCTAATGCTTCCCACGGCCAGCGACAACAAGACTCGATGTGAGACGATACTACTGCAAGGGACAACTGGGATCTGGGTTGCAAGGATCCCTAAACCCTAAACGACAAGGAGGGTTAGGGTTTAGTGTTTCGGGTTTAGGGCGAAGCCAGAAGTTGGGAGTGGCAGAGTAAGCCGCGAACAGTAGACGTGACCCACGTGTTAGATGACCAGCTGGCCCTTTGCAGAACAACCTCCGAGATCCACAACCTCGGGATGCAATAACCTACTGCCCTAAGGGGTTATAACCGAGACCCCAAAACCCTGAACTCCACAACCCTAAGCCCTTACACCCTCTAATTACCCTGCTACTTTGTAGAGTTTGGGGCTACAGGAATAGTCAGGCTCTGTGCTGCCAGGATACGCTTCTTTGGCAGGTGTCGCATCCTGCCACAAGCAAGAGAAGCTCAGGTTAGGGTCTAATGTAGAGGCCTTAATAATTAGAATAGGGTTTCGAGGCCCTTTGTAGTATAATTACAATAAGGAACCCTTATTATAATAAGGAACCCCAGAAGAGTATAGGTAATTTATAATAAGGAACCCCCCTAAATAGTATAGGTAATTTACAATCAGGAACCACCAAAATAGTACAGGTAGTTTACAATAAGGAACCCCCCAAAATAGCATAGGTAATTTAGAAGAAGGAACCCCCAAAATAGTATGTGTAATTTAAAATAAGGAACCCCCCAAAATAGTATAGGTAATTTATATAATAAGGAATCCCCAACATAGTATAGGTAATCTATAATAAGGAACCCCCAAAATAGTACCCTAAACCCTAAACCCCTAAACCCTAAACCCTAAATCCCTAAACCCTAAACCCGTAACCCTAAACCCTAAACCCCTAAACCCAAAACCCTTAACCCTAAACCCCTTTTCAGCACGGACTGAGGTGAAACCCTAAACCCCTAAACCCTAAACCCGAAACCCTTAGGTAATTCTTCAGGCCCCTCTAGTAGCCCAGGGTCGTCTCTGAAAGTTCCAGGCTCCAGAGGTCGAGCTCCCAGCGGCCTTAGATGGAGTTTAGGGGTTTAGGGTTTAGGGTTTAAGGGTTTAGGGTTTAGAGTTTAGAGTTCAGAGTTTAGGGTTTAGGGTTTAGAGTTTAGAGTTTAGGGTTTAGGGGTTCAGAGTTTAGGGTTTAGGGTTTTAGGGTTTAGGGTTTAGAGTTTGGAGTTTAGGGTTTAGGGGTTTAGGGGTTTAGGGGTTTAGAGCTTAGGGTTTAGAGTTTAGGGTTGTTTAGAGTTTAGGGTTTAGGGGTTTAGGGTTTAGAATTTAGGGTTTAGAGTTTAGGGTTTAGGGTTTTAGGGTTTAGGGGTTTAGGGTTTAGGGTTCCATGAAGGGGCCTCAATAGTTAGGAATAGGGCTCCCTGAAAAGGAATCCGTCAAAAGGGCTCCTAATGGGGTTCCTATCCGGGTTTAGGGGAGGGGCCTTAATAATTAGAATTGGGTTTTGGGGTATATGATACGATAAACATAATAAGGAACGCCCAAAATAGAGTTGGTAATGATTTAGGCCCCTATATTACATTATAGTATGTTCTGACGTCTTATAGCATTTTTCAAGAAAACTTATTGTAGATTCCAGCAAAAAAATTAAGATATATGTGTATTTAGATTCAGCATATGTTGGGAAATTGGCGGATCCCGGGTGTTTTGAGGCCTTAGGTCTGCAGGGCTCTATGGCATGTTGCAGCTTGTGGGCTCTAGGGTTTAGGGCTTAGAGCAGTTTCGTCCTTGAGGTACCTCGAAGCTTGGCAATGCAGGGATGGGGGGAAAAGGGACACACTTCTGATTCGGGTGAAGGACTCGGGTTTGGGGGACCCCAAAATTGAAACCCTACACTCTAGACTCTGTGGAGTTCAGGTTTATGCTAGTTGGGCTTCGAAACTTCAGAGGATAAAGCTAAGGGGTTTAGGGGTTGGGTGCTCGAGGGTTACATGGGGCTTATGGATTTCTGCAGATGCAAGGGTTAAACGTTGAAGTGCTTGCGTGTAGCCAGGTACAGCAAAAGGCAATAGACAATCAAATAACGATGCACACCGTAGACAAGTAAGCTAAACAATCCACCAAAGCATAATCTAAGAACAAGTAAGCAAAGATACGTGATAGACGTAGGTGTCACACACCTACATGTTAAACCTCAACCCTGAGCCCTAAATCCTGCTAAAGCACAGAATCAGCTCCTGCAACGTCTGACACACGCCAGGCCCGCAACATGCGGCCAGGTTGCAGTGCACTTCAGAGTTTACGAATTAATTATCTTAGTATTTGGAGCTTCTGGATATAAGGATTTATGGATAAAAGGGTTAATGGATATAAGGGTTTATGGACTAGTAAGAGGCCGGCGAGCTGCGAAACGGTCTTTGGTGCCCCTGGGAGCGCGAGGGCATGTGTCTTTTCCTCGTTCCTATGCTTTCTTGGAGACCTTCAAGTGAACCTGAAGCCAAAGACCCTGGAACTACACCCTTAAATGTCGAATCCTATACTATATCCTGAGACCCTAACCCTAAGCCTAAACCATGAATCCTTCTTGATCATGATATTCCGCGCCAGGCTGCCATTGCCGAACTGCTGGTAGAATGGCTTCTGCAAGGAAGGCTGTTAAGGCTAATATAGAGGCTTTGGTAATTAGAACAGGGTTTTGGGCTTTTCTAGCTACCTACAGTAAGGAACCCTAAGGAACACCATCGTTAAATGTTGAGGCCCCTATGTTATGCCCAGGCTGCCGCACAGGATGGGCAGCTACTTCAATCCTCAGGGCATTGAGTAACTTGCAGCATGGCTGTAAGTACCTTCGGCTTAGGATTTAGGGTTGAGCGAAAATGTAGAGCTTCAGGGTTTAGGGTCTAGAGGGATGGAACTATAGTTGCCCTAACTATCAACCGTCCTACTAAATCCCCCGACTCTTTAAGTAAGCCGCCGGGCCCAGCCAAGACCGATCAAAGTCCCAACGTGCAAAGAATCCAACAAAAACTATGCTCCAGTTCAAGAGGTGCCTAAAAGGTTCAGTTTAGGCCCCTCTGTATGTTCGTGCAGTAGACGCAAAACCCGGAAACCCGTCCCTATCCCCGGAATATTTTTTTGAAAGTTATTAGTGTTGTCACTGTCATCTCCGTCTTACTATCATTATTAATCTCGCTCTCAAAGCCTGCTCAGCATCTCCGGCCTGGGGCACCCTGGGGTAGCTGGACTGCTTGACCAGCTCTTCGAAATGCTCTCGGCCTCACAGTGCACATTTTTACAGCTTACAGCTTACAGCTTACAGCTTACAGCTTACAGCTTACATCTTACATCTTACATTACATTACATTACATTACATTACATTACATTACATTACATTACATTACATTACATTACACTACATTACAGCACATTACATTACATTGCTTTACATTGCGTTACACTACATATTATATTACATTACATTACGTTACAGTACATTACCTCAGTTTCCACACTGTGAGGCGTTGCGCCGCATTGCGCTGAACGGCACCTCACTACATCACAGCACATTACACTACATTGCCTTGCATTACACACTACATCACACTACACTACACTCCGCACTGCACCGTCTGCACTGCGCTATATCACACTTATGTTTACTTGTACTCGCTAATAGCAATTGCATATGACATTGCCTTGACATTCACAGTACCTTGTCGGACTGGCGCAGCATACAGCGTAATTATTCAGTCTTCGGATATAGTCGTGAAAACCAGCTGCAGTCCGTGACTACAAGCGGCCCCGATAGGTGTTTCCAACTCAAGTATGCCTTTGTGGGGCTGGTAAGTTGGGCCAGGCAGCTGCAGAAGTGGTCCAGCATGTCGTCGATGGAGGAGAAGTCCTCACGGGATTGGGCTCTCCCGGGCTTCGCTAGCGAAAGAAAGCATGACATCACGTTCCTGCGCCCTAAACCCTAAACTCCCTAAGCCGAAACTCTTTGCGAAAGCCGACATCAAGCCCCCGCGAAAGATAATCTCGCCGTATCCTTAAGGACAGCGGCCACCGCCCTTCAAAAACCGAAGGGTTTTGGGTTTGGGGCTTCAGATAGGGTTTACGGGTGTAGGCGTGTTTAGGGTTTAAGGTTTAGAGGACAACCGCCACGTCACCCTTGCTAACCCCAAGAGGAGTACAGAACCTTATGACACGCAAATGGCTCAGAAGAAAGGCTCGGAACACTGGTGCCTGGCGTAAAACTTGCGCCCGCACGACACGACTCTTGGCTCGGCCGAGGGTTCTTCCGGTAGGATCCATGCTATTCAGCAGCGCTTGAAGGAGATGCTCAGTCGCATCATGCTTCTTCTTCTTCTTCTTCTTCAAGGCTTTCGGTTTAGGCTTCTTCTATGGGGGTCCCCCCAAAAGTGTTGTTCTCGGTTTTTGCATGACTGAGCCAAACCCAATGCCCAGGACAAGGAGCAGCTTAGACGCTGAGGCTCTGTCGGCCCTATTAGTTAAAAGGCCTCGAATCAAAGTACACGTGAGTCCTCCACTGCACACATCACACACTCGAGCTCATCTGGTGCCAATTGCATTAGGGACCTTGGTCGGTAGATTGGGGTCTTTTGAGCGTTCAGGTTTCTAGGGGTTTTAAAGGGGTGCTGAAAGGGTCATTCTACAGTCTACAGGGTTTTGGTTTAGGGGGTTCTCTAGAAGTTCTTCTACCAAAGGGTTTAACATCAAGCAGGTTGGAACTTGTTGTTGCAATCCCGACACGACAGTGCCCGACAGTTCCTAACCAAGCCCTGTCCAACTAGCACAGCAATAACTACAACCGCGCTGGTGACATTTCCGCTGCCGATGCTTGAGCTATCGTTGTTGTTTCTTGTGTTGCGGTTGAAGTAGCTGTTGCTGTTCCTGCTGGTGGCGGTGGTGATGATGGTGGTGGTGGTGGTGGGGGTGGGGGTGGGGGTGGGGGTGGGGTGGCGGTGGCGGTGGCGGTGGCGGTGGTGGTGCTGGCGCTGGCGCTGGCGCTGGTGTTGGCGCTGGTGCTGTTGCTGGTGCTGTTGCTGTTGTTGTTGTTGTTGCTGCTGCTGCTGCTGCTGTGAACTTCGTATGTTGTTGCTTTTTGTAAGTTGAAATATCGGTCGTGGTCTTGGTTTATGTTTTTTCAATGCCCGATTCTGGTGATTTACTGGATGAGTGCCGTGGTCGTCAAACAGGAAATATTTCTCACTACTGCATACGACGATGCTGACACGACGATACTACTACATGTACTGTTTAGTAGTAGTCGTCCTCGTCGTCCTACGACGACTACTACTAATCGCAGTAGCTGCCTTGGCTACATACTAGACCCTCACGTGCACACAGTTTCCGTTGGACATGAACCGTCTTTCAGAGAAGGCTGGCTGCTGTAACCTTCAGATTGATTCAGCAGAACGAGGTTCTCGTTAACGAGCTGAGTTTTTGTCATCAGAATAGGGATCTATAGCAATAGTGATTTTCCTTATTGGGTACTTAGTGAAGCAAAGTTAAACTAAAGCGGAGAAGACCGGTTTGGTCCAAGTGGCAGGGAACGCTTGGTTTCCTGCCAAGGGGCCAGAGTCCCTGTAAAGTGTACCATAGGGGTTACTAGAGAGATTACTATCAGGCTTCCATAAAGGTGAACATAAGGGTTTCATAAGGGCACTATGATAAAGGGGCCTTAATAATAAGAACAGGGAAATCAGAAGTCGACTTAAACCCTATACAGCCTGGGGAGGCCCTTCTCGGGGTGGCATGAGCTTCCCTTAGGTCTTGGCGGTTTCTGCACTTACGAGTGTCTGGGTGTAGGGTAGGGAGGAAAGAAAACACAGAACACAGTTGAGCGAATAGACTAATCTAACGTGACATGAGTGCCCCGGCACACTTGTATTTGATCCCGTTTCTAGAATTTTCAATGTACTTTGAGGGTTTGGGTTGAGGCTAGGGTCTTCGTAATTTTAGCAGTTCAGGCTCCAGCTTAGGGCCTAAGTTGAGGTCGAAGAATACGTTGACGCAATGCTCTGCTGTGTTCAGTCCTTTCATTTCTTTGGGGGAAATTAGGGTCCTGGGGAAACTTCACCCGAACCTCTGAAGCCCCAAAAGATGAACGACCCCGGGTAAGTGGGTCGAGATACCCGAAAAACTTGGCACAAAAGGATGAGCCACGCAAATGAAGACAGACCCTAAACCCTAAACCCAAACCCAAAACTTACAATCGCCCAATTTCCGCCGACACTTTCAGATTTCAGATTTTGCCTGCTCCTTGGGTACACGAAGACCTCGCAGCCCTATCCCATTTTACCCTAAAATCCTTCACCCCGAACTCTCAAGGCTTCGGAAGGGCTAGGTTGAATGTTGCGAGCCCCCCTTTACTGTTTAGGGTTTAGGTTTAGGGTTTAGGGTTTAGGGTTTAGGCTTTAGGGTTCTGTCAACCCGAGACATCCCCCGAAGTCTCGAAAGATGCGGACCCATCTATTCAGGTTTAGTCGATGGGGCTCCAAGAAAACACCCAAAACAAGGTTTACTAACACCCCCTCATTAAAAACAACCATAATCATATGAAGCCCTCATGTCATAACTGCAAGATACCCAAACCCGTCAAAACAACCCCACATGGGTAGTTCTCTAAATTGGCGTCCCTGTTCAGGTCCCCAATATAGTACAGCACCCTACAATGGGGACACTAAGTGGGACCCTAATTTAGAAAACTGCCCATATAGAACCCCTTAAAGTACCCTCACAGAAACTCTTACAGATCTGTTTAAGTAACACAAAAAGGGACCCGAACTAAGAGAACTACCCATAGTACTCACCTCTTAAGAATGCACAACAAAGAAACCCCAAACCCTGGCCAAAGCCCCTGAAACCCTGAAATTGTTGAGGCCTAAACTTGCCTAAACCTCAAGCAACTATAAACGATAGAGCAGCACACCTTAAAAGTGTTCAACCCATGTCCTCTCTGTTCCCGGACACACACTTTCTCCACATCCAGTACCAGAATTCGAGTTGTTCCTCCGGAGCGAACCGGGAAGGTTTCTTGTATCTGTGTTGTTTTAGGGTTTAGCCTAAGATTCCATGTGCCCATATAGTATATACTTAGGCCTTAAAGGGGTTCCCTGTATGGGTACTTTAAGGCCTCAGTATATACTATATGGTACATGGAGCCTTAGGGTTAGGGATATAGCACAGGTTGCGATCCCAAAGTAGCTGTATAGGGACCCCTGCTAGGGCCAAAGTCAGCATGTACCACAGAGGTTCATGGATCTTATGGGAACTTTACCGGTAAGCCACCAGGATCTTCTTTGTCTCTGGTAGGGTCCGCATTGGATTCCTTTTGCAGCTACTTACCCTAAGCCCTGAACCCTAGACGGGCCAGCTACACAAGAAAGCCTAAAGCCTGTGCGTACCCTGAACCCTAAGCCCCAAAGATCAGCTTATCACAGTTCGCTTGGATGCCTCGGCATTGACCTAGACGCTCACTTAGAAGCAGATGTCTCTTCTACCGTCTTTCCTGACTGAAGCCTACAAATAATGGCTCTACGTGGCTAGCCGAGAACTACAGTGGAGAGATGTGGAGAATAATGGTCTAGACTATCGTCCTTTGAGAATGTTCTGGCACTGTTCTGGCCGTCCGAAGCCAGAGATACAGCATACAAGCGTTGGGGCTGATTAACAACCTGCTTGATCCGACGGTTGTCGCAAGGTATGCTTGCGATGTCCTTCGATGCTGTTTATTTGGACCGGGTGGGCTTGGAGGCGATGATCAACTATCAAAGTCGTCGGAAGTGATCGTTTAGGTTCACGTGTACGAGGGATACCGGAAGCTCGCAGTAGGGGACTCAGAGCGGTTGGGGTGCTCATGGATGGTGTAGACAGCAGCAAAACTAAGTTTACTCGCAAATCCCTTCTAGCACCCCTTCTAGTACTCCCTTGTGAAAGAACTCTTATAGTAACCCTTGAAGTAGCCCTTATAACAACAATCCTCGTTCTACCCTGCAGAGTCAAGTGCTGCGGAATCTGGGATGGCCCACCTCTGAAGGCATGGTCTTTGCCTCTGCTCAGTGCTTTTTCGACGTGCGGGTGTTGGGGTTTTCGTGGGGTTTTTGGTTCTGGTTTTGTTTTTTTTAAGTTGGGGTTTTTGGGTTTAGGGTTTGGGGTTTAGTGTAGGGTTTGGGGTTTAGTTCGCGTCTTGATTTTCTCCAGTGCCGGCGGGCCGGGGAGGGGTATTGCGGGCTAAGGCGCAGGTGAGCAGCATAGATCAGACACTTCAATGAAGTGTTTGGTGATATCTATCATAGGTAATTACCCCTAAGATCCTATGGTAGGATCTTGTTCTGATTTATAGATCGATCCTCATGATCAAGGTAGCGTTAAGTAAAGGACGGCCAGTCTCAATTGATCCGTCTTCAGGCTCAAAGGGTTCTGCGGATGTGCTTCGCAGGTCCCCAAGATACATGAAAGTGACAGCGCCGAAGAGCCCTCCATTGGAGCGATGTACCTTTAGCAAATGTGCAGCCAATATCAACAATCTTTGTACGATGATGGTACACTGCTTATCTTTGGTGTCTGTGAGGTGCTTTGAGGCTCTAAATGCTCTTAGTCTTCTTGCTGCCTACCCAGTAGCCGCAGGAGCCGCGGCTGCATGTCGTGCTGCACCTGTGGACATTGGGTGGGCAAAGGCTGCAGTAAGTCTATAGGCCCTGAACAAGACGCAATTGTGTTTTGGCTTTAGGTCTCCTTGGTCGGTTGAAGCTCCATGTAGCGTTCAGGTCTGCAGCAGCAGGGCATGCACTGCCGTTGCGTCACTGCCGTGAGAATCACCCCAACCCAGCTATCAGTTGTTTTGTCCTACATGCAGGTAATGAACGTCACACGACATCTATTGAAATTTGGGTGCTCCTCGTCGACAGATCTTGGCAAACCCCGTAATTCGACTTAGACGAAGCCAATTACCATTCCAAGGTACTTTCACACTCACTCTCGGGTTATTGTACCAGGCCAGAGCCATATAACAGAGTCTCAGGTTTATGCGGAAGGGGATACTGTTCGTGAATTTTCCGACCCCTATACTATTCCTTCTGTCGGCGGCCTTGGTCGAAGCCGTTGGCGAAGGTTCCCGAAGGAACAGCAGGCTCCTTGCAGGGACTGTTGTCTGCTGTAACTTTTTCTTTCGTTCCGACGATAAATTGCGACTTACATCCATTTACGCATGCATGCATGCAATACCTCCCTCCCTCCCTCCCTCCCTCCCTACCTGCCTACCTACCTACCTACCTACCTACCTACCTACCTACCTACCTACCTACCTACCTACCAAGAAATACTCACATTACATTACATTACATTACATTACATTACATTACATTACATTACATTACATTACATTACATTACATTACATTACATTACATTACATTACATTACATTACATTAAACTACATGACATTACATTAAACTACATTGCATTAGTACATACATACATACATACATACATACATACATACATACATGCATGAATACATACATACATACATACATACATACATACATACATACATACATACATACATACATACATACATACATACATTACATACATGCATGCATACATACAGGACAGCACAGTACCTTACATTTACATTTGCATTTGCATTACACTTACATTACATTACATTACATTACATTACATTACATTACATTACATTACATTACATTACGTTACGTTACGTTACGTTACATTACATTACATTACATTACATTACATTACATTACATTACATTAGATTACTACACAGACACACACACACATGCATGCATGCATGCATGCATACATACATACATACATACACACATAGTGCGTGTGTGATGCATAGTGTTAAGACATGTGCTGCCGCACCGGCATGCATATCCAGGTGGTTCTGGTGTAAGGATGTGACCTAGGACCTAGGAGTCAAGAAGGCAAGGCGCCGAGAACATGTCGTTGTAGGTTGGCACCAGCTCGCCCATATGAGTATCAAGGTGATAACCAGAGGTAGTGGGCGACCTAGATACACAATGTGAATAACGGCCCACCCTTACAGTTCCTAGCAAATGTATGTGAGCATAGGCTCCGAGCCAGCAACCTTGCACCCCCTCACCCCAGCCTCCACGGCCTAAGGTTTAGGGGCTTGGTTTGGGAGTCAGGGCCTTCAGACGGTCCGACATCGAGACGTGACCTTGACTTGAGTGCCATGCAGCCCTTAGTAGTAACTCGAACGGTCAATATACATGCTATATAGGAACATGGACCGAAGGCGACTCAACTTGAATCGTACGTTGACGCAACTCAAACCGTTCGCACTCCGACCTGCAAGCACATTGTGAGACTTTTGAGAATAAGTGCTGCTTGAGAACTTTGCAGGGTTCATAGTAGTGACCCGGTGGGGTTATGAACTCAAGGGCTTCTCAATCAGGTCGCCGGAAAGCCTGCGCAGATGTGCCAAAGACAGGTGCCTCCTGGTGACCTTGGAATGTGAGCAGACCCTCGATCACTGTTTTAAGTTATAATCTACTTAATAATGCAGTTATTGGAATGGTATAGTCGCACAAATAGGGACTATAAAGCGACAGTATTTGCAAATATTCAGCTCCGTACATCAGGTGTTGTACTTGCTGGCAACATTCTCCGTTTTTGTGGCCTGAGTTCGAAAACCCGCAACCCGCGGGCCTCAACCCTACAGTCTTTTGTCTGCATGCAGGTTTCGGGTATGTATGAAAAAACCCTAAGCACCGAAAAAGCTAACCTTTTGAGTGACTATCATCTGGACCCTCGATCCCCCTTCCACCCACCCGGCAAGGAGGAAACCCCACTCATGAACTTCTGTTGCCTTCTACCTAAACTCTACATAGGTAGTTCTCTAAAATGGGGTCCGTTTTGGGGTCCCAATTATAGGGATCCTAATTTAGAGAACCACCCAAATCCTGAACCCCAAACCCTTAACCCTGTACCGCCCTGAACCGTCAAAGCAACAAGGGCCACGGCCGTTGTGAGGACTGCACCTGGCACTCCTAGTGCCTCGGTACTCCAACCACGAGGCAAATATCCCTGACCGAGCCTCTACACTGTTTCATAGTGCAGGGCTTGGGGCCTACTTCATGGAACAGGGGACGTATTCTGGTTGAGTCATAAATCGGGCAACGACACTCATAACTTGTAACTATCCTTATACTTCTGTCCGCCGGCGGTAAGATACGCACGGGCAGAATTACCAAGCCGCTTGATCCTGTAAGAAGACATAAGCCGGACCATCGTTAATTTTTAGGATCGCACCTGTTGCGACTTCAGGACGCTGCCAGGAGCCTGGTGCCACTTCAGAAGAAGGCTCCTTCCAGGGATCAAGTTGGACTTCAGGGCATTAGGCTTTGGTGTTTAGGTGTAACGGTTCTGTCCAAGGAAAACCCTGTGTTTTTGGGTCGAACTGTTCGTGTTGGTTTAAGGCCCTAGGTTCAGACTTTAGGTTTCGAGGACAGGACACTCTGTGTTGCTCCTACTGGGCAGTTTGGAAACATCGTTGCTGGAACCCTCTCGCATGAACTAAGGCCATGCTAACTAGGGGTATACGAAATATGGCTTTGGAAGGGAGTACTAAGGCATCGCACCACGAAGTATTCAAGCTTCTATATTGTAGAATTATCTAGTTCTGTCTGAGGCTCAAAAACAAGTATACGGAAGTGGATGCCGCTTAGGGTTTAGAGTTGAAGACCTAAGGTTTAGGATTTATAAGGTCGAATGCAATCGTACTAGCAACAGACATTACCACAATACCCACGGGGCCTACGGTGCGCGAATGTGGCAGTGACTGCTTCCTCGAGCATTCAAGGACATGCCCCTAAAACTTCCCCAAACCCCAAATGCCCCCTAAACCTTGCATAAGAATAATACCCTCTATAAACCCTAAGCCCTAAACCCTAAACCCTAAACCCCTAAACCCTAAACCCTAAACCCTAAGCCCGAAACCCCGGCTTCAGGGCTTCGGGCCCAAGAGCCCTGAAATGGGAGTCTTGAGGTTTGGGGTTTAGGGTATTCTTGCACCTGGTAGCCAGGCTGGAATGGCGGCGCCTAGGCGGTTCAGGGCTTTAGGGCTTTACGGTTTGGGGTTTAAGGTTTCGAGATCACGGTTTTCGGGTGTTTAAGTTGGGGTTTGGGCCTTGAGTTTTGTAGGGTTTTGAGTGAATTGTTTGAGGTCTTCATTACAGGGTGCAATGGAATCAGCTTACCGCTACGGGTCCCACACCCGAAACCCTCTGCATGTGCACACCGTCTTCGAGCGGTTTCTACCCAGGCCGCTTGTTGAATTGAATTCCCGCAACCTCCAAACGACTCTGAATCGATTCTGATCCCATCGACTTGGCCTAAGAGTAGCTACATAAGCCCACATAGGTTTCTCTGGGCAAGTAGGGGGCGAGACATATGAGCAAGGAAAGCATGCCCCTGAGGGCAGGCTCAGAGTTATTGTTCCCGAGATTCCTGTTCGCAGTCTATGAAACAGGTTCAGGCGTTTGGGGTTGAGGCTGTAGGAGGTTTGGGGTTTTCTGCTGACTTTCAGCAGAGACGCCTCCAGGTTCCAGGAGTGTGCCAGATAGCCCGCATAAGCCTCAGCTCAGGAAGTTATTGATTGGTCTTGTTGTGTCCACCCATTTGCCTCGTTGGTGATGATTTTAGGGATCTAGGCCCCTACAGCCCTAAGCCCTAAACCCTGACGGTTTTATACAGGTTTAGGGTCCTGAGCCATTGCATTGGATGGTCGTTTAATCTAGTTAGGGGTTTGCTTCTGAGGTCGTGCAAGACGATTTGTTGAGGGTCCTGAAACCCTTGAACCCCCCACTAAAGCTTTAAAAACATAATCCCTCAATCTTGGCTTCCTTCAAACAACCTGAAGCTCTAAGAAACGAGCCTTATCTTGGGCTCATAGGCTCGAGTCGACGGGGAACTGAATTGCAATTGGGAATTCTGCCCTAAACCCTAAACCTCATACCCGAAATCCTAAACCCAACACCCAGACTCCAAAACCCACAACCCTAAACCCAAATCTCAACACCCAAAACCCTGAACCCGAAACCCAAAATCCAACACCCTGAACCCGAAACCAAACACCCAAAACCCAACACCCGAAACCCGGAACCCAAAACCTGAAACCCTGAACCCTTTGAGAAGGCTGGCAAGGACCGGGAGTCTCAATGTGCATGGCCCGGAAGAATCCGAAGGGCGGTGGTCGGTTTGGGGTTTAGGGTTTAGGGTTTAGGGTTTAAGGTTTAGGGTTGAGGGTTTGTGGCTCATGGGGTTCAGGGCCGTTTTTGACACTCACTCTCGGACAAGCCTGGCAAGGTCTGTAGCAATACTGATCAGGGTTTTGGGTTTAGGTTTCTGGCTTAATGTAGGGGCCTTAACAATTAGAGTAGGGTTTTGAGGCCCATTATACTATACGTATAGCAAGGAACCCCCAAAAAAAGTGTTGGTAATTATATAGGCCCCGACATTATGGGGTTTCGGGCCGTTAGGGTATGTGGGGGTGTTGGGTTTGGGTCTCGTGGAGTTTGGGGGCGTAGCGTTTGGATTAGTCTGTGCAAACATAAGACCTCGAGTGACATCACCCATCCTAACCAGAAAGCAAGATGTAGGCAGGCACTTTTATCTGAACTGAGCCCAAACGCTTAAATCCAAGAACCCGTACATCCTAAACCTCGCAACCAAAGACCCTAGACCTTCTCAAACCCCCAAACTTGACACCTCGAAACCCAAACCACCAAACCCAAAACCGGCCTACCTCCAAACCCCAAACCTGTAAACCACAAGTTCCTAAACCATGTACGCCACGGAAACCCTCAGTCTAAAGGAAATCTAAGCTCCCGATAGCCTAAACCCTAAACCCTGCAGCATCCAACCCAAGCACTCCCATAGTCTCCCCGGGCTGTGGCGGAGCCTGGGCTGTTTACGGCACAAGTCCAGCTCCCAGGATATTCTTACTCGTCAAGCATCCTAGGGAATCAATCAAAGCAGAAAACCTTTAATGTTATGTAGGGGTTATAGTACCCCAAAAAGGTTAAAGGCTACCTACTCTACTATTAAGTACTATAGGAGTTTATAATCAGAATTCTTCCAAACACAGGCGTTCCCTTAGTTATCTTG